AAATCTCTCACCACAGCGTGAAAAAGTTCTCTGCTTTTCAGGATTCACATGATGGGACCCACCAGACAGTCCAGTATTATTTCTCCATGCAAGGTTGTAAAGTTTGTTTTTTAATTTATTTAAGTAATTTCTAAACCCAACATGGGGATCAAACTCACCACCCCAAGAGCGAGAGTTGCGTCCTCCACCAACCAAGCCAGGTGCCCCCAAAGTTGTATTTTAATTGCCTCTGCAAAATCCCTTTTGCCACATGAGGTAATATTTTCATAGAATCCAGGCATGAGGGTATGAACAGGGCTCTTCCCTAAACTGTTAGATCTTTTGCTCCTTCTTCAAAAAAAGCTCTAGGGAGAGAAATCTATGAAAAACTTGTCCCTCCTTCCTTCCTTTCCTCCTTTCTTCTCCCTTCCTTCCTTTTTGTTTTATTATTAAAACAATTTTTTATTCAATATAGTTAACATACTGTGTTATATTAGTTTCAGGTGTGCGATATAGTGATTTGGCAATTCCATACAGCACCCAGAGCTCATCGTGATAAGTGTACTCTTTTTTTTAAAAATTTTCAATGTTTATTCATTTTTGAGAGATGAAGAGAGACAGACAGACAGAGCGTGAGCAGGGGAGGGTCAGAGAGACAGGGAGACACAGAATCTGAAGCAGGCTCCAGGCTCTGAGCTGTCAGCACAGAGCCTGACGCAGGGCTCAAACTCATGAACTGTGAGATCATGACCTGTGCCAAAGTCAGATGCTCAACCGACTGAGCCACCCAGGCGCCCCATAATAAGTGTACTCTTAACTCTTAATCCCCTTCATGTATCTCACCCATCTTCCCGCCTGCCTCCCCTCCAATAACCAACAGTTTGGGTTTATCTTTCTTTCTTTTTTTTTTTTTTTTTTTTTAGTGTTTATTTAGTTTTGAGAGAGAGAGACAGAAACGAGCAGGGGAGGGACAGAGAGAGGGAGACACTGAATCTAAAGCAGGATCCAGGCTCTGAGCTGTTAGCACAAAGACGTGGGATGCAAACTTTACAAACTGTGAGATCATGACCCCAGCTGAAGTCAGATGCTCAACTGACTGAGCCACCCAGGTGCCCCGGGTCTATATTTCTTCTTAACCGGCTCCATTCTCCCCGGTCAGGCTCCCTTCTGTGTGAGAAACTGCTGGCAGAGGCCTTTCTGCGCAGCCGGCCCGGCGCTCGCCATTCTCAGCTGCCAGTCTGGCTGCAGGTCCACCTGCTACATGGGGCGTAGAAGCAGCCGTTCTCTCTTAGCTCCTGTCCCTGCGGAGCTTCTCGGCTGGGATTAGTTGCAGGGGTGAGGGACTGGGCAAACACCCCTACCTCTCTCCCGAGGCAGCACAGGCTCTGGGGCCGATTGCAGCGGTTTGTTTACATCATCGTCACACAGGCCACAGGCCATGGCTGGAGGCGGCAAAGTCAGGAGCAGCGGGCACAGGAGGACAAGATTGCCTGGGGCCTTGGCTCCCTGGGGTGAGGGGTCAGGGGCGAGGGGGTGTGTAGGGGGCAAGGGCCAAGGGCCGAGGCCCAGCCAGCTGGAAGCACAACCTGACTCTGACTCGGGCTCCTTTATTCCGGTGCCTTTGCAGTTCCTTTGCTCGGGTTCAAATGGTCAACTGCTCCCAAGAAGAGGATTAGAGACTGGATGTTCGCCATCGGTTTTGGCATGTGGGAACCAGACCCACCCGTGACAGTGGTCCCCGCCAGCCCCTTGGGAAGCTAGCACTGATTCTTTCTGTGTAACAGCCAGGCTGTGGCCACCCTCTCCTCTCCCTGCAACCATATAGTTCCACAACACACACACACACACACACACACACACACACACACACCCTTATATGGTGGAGTTAGGGACGAAAGGGCTGACTACACACACAGATTCTGGGCCAGAGGACCAGGTTTGAGTCCTAGCACTTCCGTTTACTATTTGTGTGTCCTTGAGAAAGAAAGTATTTCACATCAATTTCCCTGTTCCTCAGCAATGCCAATGACACCTTATACAGGGGGCTTTATGGAGATTCAGTGGGTTAGTGTCTTAATATCTGTAAAGGCAGAAGACTCTAAGCAAAGCAAAGCACGGCTTTGTTAAATAATAAAGATATGTAACCTGCTCTGTGAGGATAGTCTTTGGTCAAATATACTTAAAAAAATTTCTGTTTTATTTTTGAGACAGAGCGTGAGCAGGGGAGGGTCAGAGAGAGAGGTAGACACAGAATCTGAAACAGGCTCCAGGCTCTTAGCTGGCTGTCAGGACAGAGCCCAATGCAGGGCTCGAACCCACAAACTGTGAGATCATGACCTGAGCCGAAGTGGCATGTTTAACTGACTGAGTCACTCAGGTGCCCCTGGTCAAATATACTTTAGTAGCTATCCTTCTCTACTAGAAGTTAGAAATAAATTCTCAAATTGTTTGGCTCGAAAAAACTCTAGGGGATTTACGGGAGGCAGATTCAACCTGCAGTAATACAGCCGTGCTGTGGTCACCTCAATAGTAATCCATCTACTAGACTAGGACAAAGGGGGTCCCTGCTCTGCCCCACTCTGTACTGGTCAGGTCACACTGACAGCGCTTCTGAGATCCTGAGTTACTTCTGGGTTATCTGTACTTATTCTGAAGCCCCCTGCCCATGGTTCTGATAGGGAATTGATTGGTGCATTTTGATTAGAACCCACATTCCTAAGGAAGACCTCACTCTACCCCTTAGAATAATTTGGCCCTCGACAGCAATAGAAATTTGAGGTTCCAGGAGCGCCTGGGTGGCTCAGTACGTTAGGCTGCTGACTTTAGCTGTGGTGATGATCTCACAGTCTGTGAGTTCGAGTCCCACGTCCAGCTCTGTGCTGACAGCTCAGGGCCTGGAGCCTGCTTCAGATTCTGTGTCTCCCCCTCTCTCTGCTTCTCGTCTGCTTGCTCTCTCAAAAATAATAAACATTTAAAAAAAATTAAAAAGAAATGTGAGGTCCCAGCTACTAGATCTTGCTGGCCTCCCACTGTCTAGGTCCAGCTGAAAGCGCAGACACCAGCCCTGGGTGCCACAATCAGAAAGAGATGGCTCTGTGGGCAAGGCTGGGGAGGAAACTAGCAACATGACAAATGCAGACTCTTGGAAACAATCAGAGCTGTTGGGAGGAAAGTGAGAGGACACAGGAGGGCCAGCGAGCTGGCTTCAAACCACAGGAAGGACGGAGCAAGAGAAAGAACATTTATTAAACACTGACTAGGCTCTGAGCTTTTATTGCATATCTAATTAAATGCCCATAGCAACTCTGTGGAAGCAGGCAGAACTGAGGCATGTGAGTAGGTGGGGAAGAGACAAAGTGAGTCGCCCACAGGCCCTAATAGCCAGGGAGCCCAGGCTGCCAGATCTTTCGGCTTCATCTCATTACCACTGTGTTGTGATTGCATGATGCAAGCGCAGTCTTAGAGCTGTTTTGTATTGAGAGCTGGGGAAATGGTGTGGAAGTTGTATGCTTGGACACATCAAAGGTGTCCAAGCAAGTGCTTGATGATTTTCATGAAAGATTTTTAAAAGGTGATTCATCTATGCCTTGTTGGAGGGTAGAAATGGATTATCTATGAAGGTCCCTTCCAGCTTTGAGGTTCTGTTTCTATACTTTGGGGTAAGATATACTCCTCAGGTATATTAAGTGATTTCTTTTCCCTGTATTTTTCACTTTCTCCCCTGTCTCCTCCTATTCATGTAGATATTCTGCTCTGGGAACATGTCTTTTTTATTAAAAATTTTTTAATGTTTATTTATTATTGAGGGACAGAGAGAGACAGAGCATGAGCATGGGAGAGGCAGAGAGAGGCGGAGACACGGAATCCGAAGCAGGCTCCAGGCTCTGAGCCTGATGCAGGGCTCAAACTCACAAACCTTGAAGTCACAACCTGAGCCGAAGTCAGACGCTTAACCTACTGAGCTACCCAGGCACCCCAAACATGTCTTTTTAATTTTTTTTCCTTTATTTTTATTTTATTTTATTTTATTACAAATAGTTTATTGTCAAATTAGTTTACACATAACACTCAGTGCTCATCCCCACAAGTGTCCTCCTCCATGCCCATAAACATGTCTTTTTTAAAAGGAGGGACATGGTGGCTGGCAGTTTGGCCATGGGGTTAACAGAAAGACCGTACTATTCTCTCTGGTTGATGAGTCTAAATTTGTACTAAGTTTACTAAGAAGACGGTGTTACACTTGAATGAGGCAAACCTGGAAAGAGTACGAGAGGAAGCAATCACATCATGCCTCCTTCCCTCTCCTCCAATTCCTTGGTAACCAGGCAGAACCTAAACCCTTGAATGTATGGCTTAAGGCTAAGGTCGATTTCAGATGGATACTCTGCTATCCTGGATACTCTGCTATCCCATCACGATGGGGACTTGATGCACAAATTAGAAATGTTTGAAAACAAAGGTATGTTTCTCACACACCTGAGTTTGGGAATATAGACCTATTTTAAATCAGGCAGAGGGAGGGCGGGCGTGTCTTCCGCGAAGCTGCACAAACCAGTTGCAAAGCCTGAAGTTTTTGGTCCTCTGCTGCCCCTCTGTGGATGTAGAGGGAAATAGCAATTTCGGATTTCACTTGTGGCCCAGTGTAAAATTGAACTTGAGAGAAAGAATCCGCCCCTAAGAACTACTGGGGGTTTATGACCACTGTGAGGGAGTCAGGAACTGGGGTTATTCCCAGCAAGGTGAGGGTTCCCAGGAGGGAAGTGGGGAGCCCCTTCACATTGTCAATGACTTCACAAGGCTCTTCTCCTGTCCACCATCTTTATTTTTCCTGGAGACACCTGCAGCCAGCCAGCCAGCGAGCCTCTGAAGACTCCCAGGCAGGCCCCTCTGCAGCTCCTGGCCACGGCCAGCACCCACGGGCACAGTGCCAATCCTCCCACACCTCCTCTTCCTGTGCTTGGAGTAACAAGTCTGTGGGTTTCTCCCTCCGGTCTCACAGCTTTTCACACCCTCTCTGCACCGTCTGTCTCTACACCACCATCTACACACACGTCTAGACCATCACATTGGTGCTTGCGGCATCCCTGACTCCTGCACAGGCGCAGGGCACACATGGCACTTTTGTTTAGACAAGGGAGCGAGGGGGAACACTTGGGCACAACGTGGGGGAAGGGGCTCTGGGTCACTGCAAGCAGCCTGGCTGAAATCTGGGGTGTCTGAATCCCAGGACTGCTTTCCAACGACAGCGTGGCTGCTTCCTTCCCTGGTCGGCTCCCTCCCGGGGCCCAGCACCCCACCCGACCTCACTCCCCAGCCCCCTCCTGGCAAATAGCGACAGCAGCCCTGAGCCTCAGGCCTCTCGCTCTCCCGCCTACAGGAGAGGATAGGATGTATGGGCCTCCTCCCTCCAGCCTGGAGCCAGGGACCCCCCGCACCTGGCCTGACCTCCTTTCCCCTCCCCTCATGCCTCCAGCCCCTGCCGCAGCCTGCGGTCCAGGGCCAGGAGCTGCCGCAGGAAGCCCCGGTTGGGGATGATGCCTCGGTGGTCCTTGACTTTCTTGATGGCCTCCACGAGGGTGAGGCGGTGGTACAGCATGAGGTAGGCCAGGACCAGTGTGGCGGACCGGCTCACTCCCACCGCGCAGTGCACCAGGATCCTCCCTGTGAGGACAGACACAGCGGGCAGCTGGGGGGCTGGAGAAGGCTAGGGACAGAGCTACGGGGACAGGTGAGGAGGGGTGCAGGGAGACAGGATGGGGTGCAGACTAGTGGTAGGAAGAATGCAGACCCCCCTGGACAGAATAAGATGGACAACACACAGGGGCTCAGCCTTCAGAACTGCCCCATCTCCCCAGAAAAAGGCTCCGGAAGACACTCGTCTCCAATGGAAGACTGGGTCTAGTACAGCATAGGGACTCAGGTGATACTTCCCACGTGCGTTATCATTGCTACTGTTAACATTTTGGATTATCTCCTTTTCGTGCATTGCCTTTTAGAGATGTTTGAGGGCATTTTTCTTCCCTTAATATCATACCCCGAGCATTTTGTCATGTCATTAAAATCTCTTCCATCCTTGAACCCTCGGGCCTTCCCCTAACTTAACGTCCAGTGTTAGGGGACGCACCCTCCCCCCCACGGCCCCTTGCTCTCCCCTCCTACCTCCTGGCTGGTTCAGTGCCCGGTGGATGAAATCGGCAGCCGTCTGGAAGTGGATGCTCATGTCAAAGGCTGGCGAGTCGTGAGCCTCGACACCCAGGTAGCGGATACCCAGCCCCTCGTAGGCCTCCGGTGTCCCTCGCCACCTGCTGTGCGAGGCATTGAGGACGTGGGTGATGCCCAGGCGACGGAGCTCTCGGCGGTTGTTGGCTATGTCCCTGCATTGAGTAGAGGTTAAAGGGAGAGTGGGGAAGCTAGGCCCTGGGGCGAGGAGCCCTCTTCCCCGCCCTGGCGGCTGCCTAGCCAATGTCATAGGCCCCACGCCCCTGCCTTACTTCCTGATGACCCAGAGCGGGATAACTAAGATGGGCAATGACCTGGAATCTTGCCCTTGAGCAAGGGTTGAGAGCGCTGGGGAGGTTCTGCCTGGAGGAGAGAAGACTAACAGGGAGGGTGAGCAATCACCATAATAAAAGCCATAATAAAATATTGAAAGACTGGGCGGGCTTTGACTTTCTGTATGCGAAGAATTCACTGGATCTGTACTCTGTGTAAGGAAGTCTGTCCCGACCGTGGAATCCCGCTGAAGAAAGATTGAAACATCATGGGAGAGAGTGATTTTCCCGTCACTGGGGCATTCGAGCAGCGGGAGGAGGTCAGTGTGTAGGCATGGATGTGGCAGAGGGAATGTGGACATCAGGTGAGTAGTTGGACCAGCTCACATTTAACCTCGCTGGTAACCCTGAGGTGCTGTGATTCCGGCCCTTGCTCCCACACCCAGCTCCCCTGTTACTTTATACTCCAACACCCAGAATCTTCCTCTCTGTTACCAGTTACTCCATGCCCACGTTTACCCTGTGTTGTGAGGTCACCTTCCGGTGTTTGTCTGGCCCACACCCTTCAGCTTAGTGGGAGACACCTCTCAGGCACCATGGCTATATCTCAGGGCAAATGCCCTGTCCAGTGCAAATTCCTCAAGTAGAAAGAGCACTGAACTTGAACCTGCAAGTCCTGGCTCTGCTACTTACGACCCGTGTGACCTTGGGCCAGTCACAACATCTCTGAGCTTCAGTTTCCTCATCTGTAACCTGGGGATAGTGGTACCTACCTCATAAGGCTGTTGTGAAGATTAAGAGAGAAAATGCACGTGAAAAACTCCTTGTAAATTGTAACGCCCTTGAGAGAAAGAGAGGACTACTCTTCCCGTGATGCTCTTCTCTCCATGGCCCCCGTCTTCCCAGCTTTGCCTGGTCAACCTTTCATCTTACTGCCCACTTCCTGGTCCCCAATGGCTGCCTCCTTTTTTTTCCCCCCCCCAGAATCACAGCACAATAGATGGAAGGTGAGAGAAGTCATCTATTATGTCCGGTTCGTAGCACTGGCACTCAATAATTAATTATGCTAAAGCAATGACATTATTACATGAACAGAGACTTTCTGTCCAGAGTTGAGTATCTTAATAATCCTCCGCTCTCTGTCCACGCACCCCTGCCCCTCAGTCCTCAAGCTGGAGTCAGTACCTCCCTTCCACCCTTCTCCTTCCTTCTTGCCCCCCCACCCCAACACACGCGCGCGCACACACACACACACACACACACACACACACACGGCTATGACCCCAGGCTGCCAGGTACATACTGGTCTCCAAGGTAGAGGCCTGGCCAGACCTCATCGGCGTGGTTACAGGCTGTCTTGCCCGTGTAGAGGAGCCTCTCCAGCTCAAAGACATTGAGGAAGGGATGTTGAACAGCCGGCATCTCCTCCAGGGCCCCTCTCGTGCGAACAGGAGACCTGGAGCTACTCCGGGAGAAGCGGGCCATAAAAGTCATAGACGCCCAGAGCCAGTTCCCAGGGCACATCTTAGAGGTGGCAGAAACCACGTGGCAGCTGTGGGGGCGGCTGCCGTGAGGATGGGTCCGTCTCCAGGTGGCTGTTGCTGGAGGAGGAACGGATGGGAGACACACCTGAGTGAGCCTCGAGCAGCTGCTTCCCTTCTCACCAACTGGGCTGGGCCCTGGGGAGAAGATCCTCAAGGGAGAGAAGGTAAGCCTGGCCCTCTCGGGGGCCTCCACGATTATTCTCTCCTTCAAGCTGCCACAGCTCCTCTCTGCTCTTTGGCTCAGCCACGCAAGGAGGTGGGAGAGTCACATGTCCTTGTTTACGGGGAAAGGGAGCTGCCCAGCTGCTCCACCCCCACGCCCGAAGCACGTACACACACACACACACACACACACACACACACATTTGATATTTGGGCGGCCGTGCCCACTGCTAGAGCTCTTGCCAGCCCGAATCTGGGTCTCATCTGCCCGGGGCTACAGGCAGAGAGCCTAGGGAGCTAGGGATGGGAATGAGGGGTGGCCTTGGGCCCATCCAGAGAGAATTAGCAGGAAGCAGCGGCTGGGGCTGTGACATATGCCAAGCCTGTCTCCTCAGCGCCCGAGAGATGGGCTGCTTTAACACAGTGCTGCGCCCCTCACTGCCTCAGAGTCAAGCGTGCTATGGGGAGTGTCTGTTGGGGGCCGGGGTGAGCGGGGATTAGCAACGAAGAGGAAGTGCACATTTTTGAAAAATACTTGCTGGATGCATGCGCTCATGGAAGAAGGCGCCGATCTACGTGCATGACAGACAAACCACCCTCCTTCCATCAGTGTACCGAAATTATTGATGAAACCTCATCTCTAATATGAAGATTTCTGAGTCCAGCAGCGCTGGGGTCGTGTGTCTGGGTGTGGGGGGGAAAGGTGGCGGCTGGGGGGCTGAAGAAGGGGCAGGAAGGAAGAGGGATGAGGGATCCTGCCAGGCCCAGGGGCTCAGAGGCTGAAATGACCATCTGTGTTGCTGTTGGAGTCAAGTGACCGTACGAAGGGCATGGGGCTTAGCAGGTGTGTCTCGGACTCTCTGGACAGCCGGCCCTTCTCAAAGTGGGAGCCTGTGCTCCCGGGGAGAGCCAGCCTTTGAGACTCACCCTGGGTCCTTGAGGCAGAGAGAACTGGGCAAGACGCCCTCTCTCCTCTTCCTCCTCGTTCTCTCCCACTGTGATGGTGGGTTGGTCCCAAGGGTTCCCCTTCCACTCCCTTCCTGGTCTTCTGCCCGGACACCTCGACCAAAAGTCTAGTAGGGAGAGGCCATCTTTGACCTGCACACAGTGTGCGAACCCATCCTTCATGGCCGGCCAGCCCCCCCCCCCCCCCGGGCTCTCCTTTATCCCGGGCCAGGGGACACCTTGCACCCACAGGCCTTAGGAAGCAGGGGCATTAGGATCACGACTGCTGAGGGGAGCCTGGATCTTAGGGTGTTCGGGGAGAAAGGATTTCGCAATGTCTGGGGCAGAAGGGGCACAGGAATCTGGCACTATAGCCGCCGTCAGCACCATCACCACCATCATCACCATCATCTGCCTTGTCTCCTCAGGACTAAAGACCCCATCATTTTATTCCCAAACAACGGTTTCTGGGTTTCCCGAAATAGGCGTGCTGCCTGTGTGATGCTGAATGGTAAAAAGGAAGGGGAAGGAGGCCGGGTGGAGGAAGGAGCTCGGTGGGACTCGATCCGCCGCCCCGCTCCGTCCCGGGGGGCCACCCCTCGGCCCCCTTCAATCCCGGCAGCCGCCTTCAGGGGCCCTCGCCCGCGGCCCCCTCCCCCCGCGTCCGCCGCGGCGGTTGTAACAGGTTCATGGCCGTCGCCCCAGCCGCGGCCGGGCGCCGAGGGTGCAGGGAGGGAGCCCGGGGGAGCTCAGCCACTCGGCCCCCGCGCGTCGCCTCCCTGGCTGGACGCCCCCACCCCCCACCCCCCGCCGCCCCCAGCCCACAGCCCCCAGCCCCCAGCCTCTCGCCGCCCGCCGGGAGGTGACCACCCCACGCAGCCCCCGTACCTCGGTGCGAGCGCCGCGCGGGGTCTCAGTCCCGGAGGCAGATCGCAGGCGCAGCCGGCCCCACGGCCATGACTCTCCCGCCGCCGCCGCCGCCGCCGCCGCCGCCGCCAGACCGGCTGACGGATTAGCCTCTATTTTTAAGCCATGACACGCACGTCGAAGCAGGGCTCATATTAGCGTGCGTGTGTGTGTGTGTGTCGGCGACACACACGGACACAGCCTCACGCCCAGCGGTCCGAGTGGACACGCAGCGTGGGCTCGCCCGCGGGTGTTTGCAGACCAGACACGGACCACAGCCCCGCCTGGTGTGCACGCCCCAGCAGACGTGTATCTTCGGAGCTGCGCCAATTACAAGGCATTTTGCTTGAAGATGACATTATACAAGTCGTCCCAGAGAGCGCCTTGAACACACCCGCTTCTCCCCAGGCGGCATTAACGAATTACACAGACATGACGGTGCACCTCATTTGTCCGTTTCTTATCAGGAGCATCGTGTCATAAATAATACCAATCCCTAGCCATTATTAGCATTTACTATAGACCGTGCGTTTCACATAACTCAGTTTGTCCTCACCACAGGTCGGTGACATACGGAGGATTATCATGGTCCCCATGTTAGAGAAAAAGAGACTGAGGCTCAGAGGGGCCAAGGAATTTGCCCAGGCCGCATGCTAGTTATGCGCTGAGCAGAGCTTCAAGACCTGGCAGGCAGACTCAAAATTCATGTCCTTAACTGTTCTAGATAGTGACCCCACACCATGGAGGAGGCACAGTGGATTTCTATCAGCAAGCCACTTCCGCCAGCTCAGCTCCTGGCCAGCGCCACGGTCCCCGACTCTGGAAGAAATTCATGCCCATACCTCTTCATTTGTGCTGTCTTTTAACGATGTTTACCTTGACTTGCTTTTCTACTGGAATCACCTCGTCAGTCGCGAGATTGTCAACACTTGGAAGGCAAGGACGGTGTTGTGGTCCCCAGGCCCTAGTTCACTGTGTGATGGCGGAGGTGGGAGAGGGAATGAATGGCATCAGGTGATGCTAGTGAAAACCAGGCAGATGGCAGGCTCCAGGAGAGCTGTCTGCAGGACAGAGGCAGGACCTGGTTTCAGATGAGAAGACATTAGCAACTGTCCCTGAAATCGGGATTGATCATGTTCCCGTAGGGGTAGTAGATGAGGCTTTGATCTCTGGGTCAGGTCAGTTCAGTGCTCAAGGAGAGGTTTCATCAAAGGCTGCTGTCACAGACTAATTTCAGCCCTCGTAGTCTTTTCCTTCTAGAGAAGCAAACTCAATTCCTTTCCATGCATTCTTGGCATGGGAATTTACATGAAGAAATGAAATCCTCATCATTTAAAACAAAGGCTTGGCCTGGGGAAGTTGAAAATTTAATTTGTTGTTCCAGGAAAAAAAAATCATAAGTAAAAAAAATCTATCATAAGTCAAATTGTGAAAGAGCACATATTATTGGACCAACCTTATTTTAAGTGACAGAGTCTTTAGGGTTGGTAGGTTGGAAAGATGTTGTAGATGAACTTGATCTCAATCTTTGGCAAGGTTTCCATTACAACCCTGCATTTTCACTTTTCTCAAAAAGCTGGAAAAACGTTTTATTTTTATTTTTTTTATAGTTTATTTACTTTTGAGACAGAGATAGATAGAACATGAATGAGAGAGGGGCAGAGAGAAAGGGAGACACAGAATCTTAAACAGGCTCCATCTAGCTGTCAGCACAGAGCCCTATGCGGGGCTCGAACCCACGGACCGTGAGATCATGACCTGAGCCGAGTTCAGACGCTTAACCAACTGAGCCATCCAGGCGCCCCTGGAAAAATATGTTTTATTTTTATTTATTTAAAAAAAATTTTTTTTAATGTTTTATTTATTTCTAGGAGAGAGAGAGAGACAGCATGAGCAGGGGAGGGTCAGAGAGAGAGGGAGTCACAGACTCTGAAACAGGCTCTAGGCTCTGAACTGGCAGTCAGCACAGAGCCTGACGTGGGGCTCGAACCCACCAACCGTGAGATCATGACCTAAGTGAAAGTCGGACTGACTAAGCCACCCAGGCACCCCCGAAAAATATGTTTTAAAGAGTGCTATAGACATCATGGGCAGATGTTTATGGGTTATTATAGAAGTTGTCTGGATCAACATTTTCATGAAGACCATTAAATTACTAGGGATCAATCCACAACTCAAGGGGCTTTATGTTTTGTACTTAGGAGGTTTATTATATTTCTAGATGACACCAAACTAAGGATAAGAGGGGAAGGGAAGCTGGAACAAAGAGTTAGTGGGGAGAAGGTAATGGAGAAGGTAGGACAAGAGAGGGGACGAAGCTAATAGAGGCAGCATGTATTGATACTTTATTTATTTATTTATTTAATATTTTTATTTATTTCTAGGAGAGAGAGAGACAGCGTGAGCAGGGGAGGGTCAGAGAGAGAGGGAGTCACAGACTGAAACAGGCTCCAGGCTCTGAGCTGGCAGTCAGCACAGAGCCCGACGCGGGGCTCGAACCCACGAACCACGAGATCATGACCTGAGCTGAAGTCGGACACTTAACCGACTAAGCCACCCAGGCGCCCCTATTGATAATTTATTATTACCTGTCAATTCCTTGGGCTTTCACATTTATCAGCTTGTTTAATCCTACCCAATTTTTAGGTGGGTGTTATCACCTTCACTGAATACATGAGAAGTAAACTCATCGCTTGGCCAGATGAGTTTACTCACCCACAGCTAGTAAATGGCAGAGGCTATCTGATTCCAAACATGTAATTTTCAAGATAAGGCTGAAGAATCACTTCCTTTAAAAAGCCTTCTGGACCCATTCTTTTTTGTCTGTTTCCTTCATTGTGTTGATACAGACATCTATCAAAGGACCTATGAACTATGTTTTACTTCACTTATTTCTATTATTTCTTTAACTCTCTTCTCTCAGTACTAGAAATCATGAATGGATACAGGATATGGGGATGAACTAAGATAGTAAAATGAGGCTACTGAAAAATAGAAATAGATCTCCAAACAGTCTCAAAAGAAATGCCTCCCTTCCCCAAAAATATTTAAATAAGAGAAAGAGGGAGGCGTGCCTGGATGGCTCAGTGGGTTAAGCGACCGACTTCGGCTCAGATCATGATCTCACGGTTTGTGGGTTCGAGCCTGGCATCAGGATCTGTGCTGAGAGCTCAGAGCCTGGAGTCTGTTTCAGATTCTGTATCTCCCTCTCTCTCTGACCCTCCCCTGCTCATGCTCTCTCTCTCTCTCTCAATCTCTCTCTCTCTCTCTCAGAAATAAATAAAACAAAAAATTTAAAAAAGAAAAGAAAAAGAGGGAGAAAGGGGGTGAGGAAAACCAACAACCATGTGTTAAATGGTAATTCCAACCGCTACCATTAACTGTGGGCTGGGCACTATGCTAAGTGCTTTACCTAGATTAGCTAATTTAATCCCATGAAGTGTATATTATTAATTCCATTTTGCGGTTGAGGAAACAGGTTTAGAGTGGTGGTAAATCCACCCTGCAGCAGCCAAGTAGCTAATAAGTGGGATTTGCGCATGGATTTAAGCCCATGACTGTTTTAAACCAAAGCCTGTGCCTCAAATCACTGCAGCAAGGGCGCAGACCTAAAGAAAAAGAATGGCAATCGTTACGAGGTAGCGAGCCCTACCGCGTGTCAGGCACCCAGTGGAAGTTACATGAAGGAAGGCATCCTCAAGCCCTGACCCTTGGCCCCCTAGGCGGCGTGGCTCCCCAGGAGCCGGATCCGCCAGGTGCGCGCATCGCGGGCGGAGCAGCCGGGGACGCCCGCCACCGCACCACGTGGCTTTTCCCGACACCAGTCCAAGCACAGGGAGCGGGACCTGGCTTCCTTCCAACCACGCCCTAAGCCCCGCCACGCCCAGCGCTCCTGGGCGCGTCCACCCGGCTCTGCTGCGGGCTTAAACGGCATTTTCACCCGAAGGCTCCAGTAGCAGAGGACAGACACTTGTGACTATGTAGCGACGGGAGTGCGGTGAGAGCAGGCGGGCAGAAGACTCGAGGTGCCCCGTGTTGATTCTGACCTTACGCTTCTGATTCTCCATTCTCCCAGTTCTCCCAGTGCCTGTCCTTCGGCCTCTTCCTGGGCCCCTATTTTGCACCCTCCCCACCCCCACAGGCCCCCACGTGGGATGGGTGGGCCTGTCCTCTCTGGCCTCAGCCAGCGGGGTGTGAGGATTTCCTCCGCCGAGCTCCTGCTGGTTCTGAATTGGGGGGAAGGGAGAGGTACGCAGGTCCTTTGGGTAGAGTGACAGTCTGGTTTTTGCTTCAACTCTCAGGCCATCCTTCACCTCTCTATCCAATGCATTCTGTAGCCCCTTTCCTTCTGGTCAGGACACATCTGACCGCTGTAAATATTCACTCTCTTCTAAGAGCCGCCCTTTATAGCAAGGAGCAGATACTCTTTCCATTAGCCTGACTTTGGAATGAAAATAAACTCTAGAGGGAGAGGCTAGTGCTCTTATGGCAGAAATAAACCAGGACACTATTCGCAAAGAAAGCAAGATACAAAAGGAATATGCGGCAAATGCCCCTGTTTAAAAAAGAAGAAAATGAAAAGAAGAGCAGCTATAAATACACATTTTGAAGAAGACAGAAAGGAACTATGCCGAATATTAAAAGAGGTAATCTCTGGCGAGAGGGGAATGACAGATAATTTTTATCTTGTACTGTACCCTATCTACATTTCTCAAATTTTCAATAATCCATATAGATTAATTTTCAGTGTCCAGTCTATGAAATTGGTTGAGATTTCCTTTAGTGGCTTCCTCTGTGGCCAATTTTAGCAAATGTCCTGCGCATGCTTGAAGAGAATAGTTACTCTGTTTTGGAGTGGAAATTTCTAGCTTTACTTTCCTCCTATATAACGTTCTAAAATGTTCTATAACCTTATTTTTAAAATCTTTATTTACCAGCTTTTGAGAGATAGATTAAAACCTCCCAGGTTTGGGGCACCAGGGTGGCTCAGTTGGTTGAGCATCTGACTTCAGCTGCAGTCATGATCTCACAGCTGGTGGGTTCAAGCCCTGGGTTGGGCTCTGCTGACAGCTCAGAGCCTGGAGCCGGCTTCAGATTCTGTGTCTCCCTGTCTCTCTGCCCCTCCCCTGCTCATGCTCTCTTTCTATCTCTCAAAAATAAATAAACATTAAAAATTAAAAAGATGTTTTCTGCAATACTTGTATAACAGTAGCAACCCTCTGCCTATAGCTCTCCATCTGGGTCTTCCCTCTTTACCCTTGCTCCATGTCCTGGTTCCCTACTTCCTGGAACCAAATATATTGAAATGTTTTTCTTCATCTTATCTCTCTCAATAATATGTTTATATTGCTGTTTTTTGAGTTTTCAGTTTTCGACATTACCTATTGATTTCTCACTATGAACATTGAGGGTTTTTTTTCTCTTTATTCCATTCCTCCACCAAGATCTAGATAAACATCTCTCTATGCATTTGTCTTTTTTTTTTTTTAAATAATTTGTTTATTTTGGAGGAGAGAGGGGCAGAGAGAGAGAGAAGAGAGAGAAATGCAAGCAGGCTCTGTGCTATCAGTACGAGCCCGATGTAGGGCTTGAACCCACAAACTGTGAGATCATGACTTGAGCCGAAATCAAGAGTCATATGCGGGGCACCTGGGTAGCTCAGTTGGTTAAGTCTCCTACTCTGGTTTTGATTCAGGTCACGATGGATCTCACAGTTTCATGAGTTTGAGCCTCGCATCCGGCTCTATGTTGGGCGTGTAGGATCTGCTTGGGATTCTTACCCTCCCTCCCTTTCTGTCCCTCTCCCACTCATGCTGTCTCTCTCTGTCAAAATAAATAATAAACTTAAAAAAAATAAAAACCTTAAAAAATAATAAACTTAAAATACTTTTTTTTTAATTTTTTTAATGCTTTTTATTTATTTCTAGGAGAGAGAAAGACAGCGTGAGCAGGGGAGGGTCAGAGAGAGAGGGAGACACAGACTCTGAAACAGGCTCCAGGCTCTGAACTGGCAGTCAGCACAAAGACAAAAAAGGGGCTCAAACCCACAAACAGCGAGATCATGACCTAAGCGAAAGTCAAAAGCTTAACCGACTAAGCCACCCAGGCGCCCCAATAAATTTAAAAAACTTAACCAACTGAGCCACCCAGGCACACCTCTATGCATTTGTCTTAAAGAGTTATATCATAATTTTGTTTATAAGTAGTCAGTGTGAATATAATTGTTATTCAGTTGAACCATTTTCTACTTTTCTTGCATAACTTTGTTTTCCCTTCAGTTAATAATTATTGTTCGTTTAATTTTCAGCAGATGTCTCACTAATTCAGCCCCACACTTTCCCCTAATTGCCTAAACCTCCTCTTGGCAAATAAATCAATTATTTTCTCAGTGACATTTTTTCGCCCCCATAAGCCTTTTCTGGACTTTTCTGACTTATCCTCACCTGGACTGGTTGCTCTCTGCGCCAGTGTAGAGCCATTACCATGGGATCTCCTCTTATTCTCATTCTGGGAACTCTTTTTGCTCCTGGAAGCCCAGTTTCCTGGGTATCCTGTTTTCAGTATGATCCCAGCATGAGACCCTTTGTTTTATTTCTTCAGAGAATAAGCCTCCAGTCTCATGCTGGAGGAGGGGAAGGGCAGTTGCCTGATGTGCAGTGACAGATGGGTGGATTTTACCTTAAAAGATTTCCAGCGCAGTCTGTGGGTTTCGTCCTTCTTCTGGCTTACCTCGAGAGCTAGCCAGTGTTGCCAGTGGCTCTGTGCTGTAAATCAGATCCATCACCAATATTCCCCAACTGACTTGCCTCCTGTTTGCAGCATCCAGCCTTTTGTTGCTGCTGAAATACTTACCGTTCTTTTCATTTTGGTGAGTTTTATGTTTGGAAAAAAAAAATCTGTTGACTGTCACTTTTTGTGGGGTTTCAGGAAGAAGCAGAATCCAGTGGTGGCTTTTTTTTAAATTTTTTATTTTTTTAAATTAATTTCTGAGAGAGAGAGAGAGAGAGACAGCGTCAGCAGGGGAGGGTCAGAGAGAGGGAGATACCGAATCTGTATTATTCCATGCTCTGAGCTAGCTGTCAGCACAGAGCCCAACGCGGGGCTCGAACCCACGAACCGTGAGATCATGACCTGAACCAAAGTCAGACGCTTAACCACCGACTGAGCCACCCAGGCGCCCCCAATGGTGGCTTTTAATATGCTATCTTTAACTGGGAGTGCCAGCTGGGTTTTGAAAACACACACAAAATGATTGATATTGTAATTTTTTTCACATTCCGTATTTATTTAGACTTACTAGCATATTTTAACAATTCTTTTGCATACTCTTGCTTCTTTCTCCTTTTTCAGCCATTCTAGGTACATTTTTTCTAATTTCGTATTTCTACAAAATAAGGGTCTATTAGTAGTAATTTCTAAGTGCTCGAGTGTCAAACAATTTCTAATTTGCCTTGACTTGTACATGATATTTTGCCTGACTTTAGAAATCTTGGTTCCAATTTTGTTTCCTCAGCACATCAAAAATATTACTTCTTTGTCTTCCAGCATTTATTTTGCTGATGAAAAGTCTTTTTTTCCCCAGTGTTCTTGCCATTACTTTGTTATAATCTGCCTTTTTCCTTTGTTGGTTGTAGAATTTCTTCTTTGACCTTGTAGAACGCTGGCTTCCCAAATAGTTCCCAAATAACCTCTTGGTAACAAAAAGCTGTTTATTGCTTACTAGACGAAGGGAGAATGACAACTCCACGGATAGCATCTCCTCGAGACCGGATTTACTAGGATGTTGAACTCTGGGTTATGGCAGGTCTTTCAATGCAGGGACTTGATTACGCAATGAGGTAATTAACATGGTATAAGAGTTTAGGATTTGTGGCAATAGCAAGGTGAGGTTTTGAGACAAGGCATTCAAAGAGTCTTGGAATATCAACTTTGTTGATGCTTTCTTGAATTGCTGGGTCTTATGATGCGTTCCTATGATGAACTACAAAGTTATTTGCAACTTCTCCTTTCTTGGATAAGAATCACTTGGGATAGGTGTACCTGGGTGGCTCGGTCGGTTAAGCGTCCGACTTCAGCTTAGGTCATGATCTCGTGGTCTGTGAGTTTGAGCCCTGCGCCTGGCTCTGTGCGACAGCTCATAGCCTGGAGCCTGCTTCCGATTCCGTATCTCCCTCACTCTCTGCCCCTCCACTGCTTGCTCTCTGTTTCTCTCTCAAAAATAATAAAAAATAAAATAAAAACAATTTTAAAAAAGATTCACCTGGGATAGTAAAATTATGCTAATGATGACCATGTAATAGGAAGGGCATGTTGCAAAACAGACGCCAAACTACGTGGGTGTAGATAGTTTTCATTTTCATTGTTCTCTCCTGTGGCCATTTTCAACCTTAGTTAAAGGATAATGGGCCGTTAGTGTGGCCACATGTGATCAGTCTCGGTCTTTGCTGCTATTTGAGGTCTCACAATCATGTACCAAGTTTCTGGGAATGTTGAGTTCAATCTCCAAGGTTCTGAGGATGTTTGTTTCAACCTCCATCAGCATCAGATTTCCAGCTCTTTTGCTGGATGATTATTTACCGCTGGCTCTGGATTTTATGCCATTTCTCTGTAGGAGCTGGTGCACCTTTGGGGCCGACTCTTGCTTCTGCTCAGACATTGAAAACTCAGCTCCCGTGGCCTCTGCCTGGTACTTCGCTCCACTGCGGGACCCGTGGGTTCAGCCCTCTCTTACTACTCCTACAGTTTCTGGTGCGTAGAGGTTTCCCTTTCTATTGCTATGTATTTTTCTCATCAACATTTGATGCTAAAACACTTCAGTCTAAAAGAGAATTTAAAAATATAGTGAAATGAAAATTCTTCATCATCTGGATTTAACAGTTGTTAACGTTTTGTCACATTTGCTCTTTCTATGTGTGTATGTATAAGCAGATGTTTATGTATTTATTTAAAATTTTTGATGTCTATTTTTGAGAGAGAGGTTGGGGGGAGGGGCAGACAGGGAGGGAGACAGAATCCGAAGCGGGTTCCAGGCTCTGAGCTGTCAGCACAGAGCCTGACGCAGGGCTTGAACCCATGAACCTTGAGATCATGACCTGAGCCAAAGTTGGATGCTTAACCTACTGAGCCACCCAGGCACCCCAACATATGTTTATATAAATATGTATGTGACTTATTTCTAATTTTGTGTTGAGATATATAGATATCTATGTATCTACCTATCTATATAGATATCTATTTCATACATACATAATTTTCTGTTTTATAAATATAAATTTATAAGTAATTTGTGTACCCCAACATACTTTTATTTCAAATACTGTAGCATATACCCCTTAAAAATAAGAACATTCTCATATACACCACAGTGCCATTATAACCTAAGGAAATTGATACTAATTCTTTGATGTATTTTAAGAGGTATACTCAATTTTCTCCAATTGAGGATACATTTTTTAAGTTTATTTATTTATTTTTGAGAGAGAAAGAGGGGGTGCAGAGCAGAGGGAGAGAGGGACAGAGAATACAAAGCAGGCTCTATGCTGACAGCCGAGAACCCCATGAGGGGCTCAGACCCACAAACCACGAGATCATGACCTGAGCCGATGTTGGAAGCTCAACCGACTGGGCCACCCAGGAACCACTTGAGGAGAAATTTTTGTAGCATATTTTTTTCAACAGTGACCCAGCCAATGTTCATGAATTACATTTGGGTGTTAGGCCTTTGAACTAAGAATATAATCCCACCACCATGTTCCTCCTCATTACATTGGCTTATTAGACATCCCAGCCCATTGTCTTAAAGGATATTCCACATACTGGACTTGTTTGACTGTGTCTTCATAGTTCAACTAAATTTTTCCTCTACCCCTGGATTTCTTGTACACTTAGCGTTCCGTCAAAAGCTGTGATTAATTTTGGGGCATCTGGTTGGCTCAGTCAGTAGAGCAGGTGATGCTTGGTGTTGGGGTCGTTATTCAAGCCTCACGCTGAGTGTAGAGATTATTTCATAGGTGGTACTGTGCACTTCATATCATAACACATTAAAAATGGCTATATACTTTTTAAAAAATTTTTTAATGTTTTTTATTTATTTCTGAGAGAGACAGAGAGACAGAGACAGAGACAGCGTGAGCAGGGGAGGGTCAGAGAGAGAGGGAGACACAGAATCTGAAGCAGGCTCCAGGCTCTGAGCTGGCTGTCAGCACAGAGCCCAATGTGGGGCTGGAACCCACAAACCATGTGATCATGACCCGAGCTGAAGTCAGACGCTTAACCGACTGAGCCACCCAGGCACCCCAAAAATGCCTTTTAAAGTATAATTTTACATTAAACAGATTTATGTGTTTTGAGCTGAGTAAGAGTGGTAACAATTCAGTACATGCTCACATCATCATTTCAGGTAGCAACACAGTTTTCATGTTTTTGCTTTTTAAGATTTTATTTGTAAGTAATCTCTGTATCCAACACTGGGCCCAAACTCACAACCCAAGATCAAGTGTTGCATGCTCTTCTGAGCCAGCCAGGCACCTCTGATTCTCTCTTTCTTCCTCCCTTCCTTCCTTCCTTCCTTCCTTCCATCCCTCTTTCTGGCTTTTTCTTAAGAGAACAGATACCCTACAATATAAATGTTGAATGAGTGAGTGACTAAATAAACTAAATACAGATTTAAGGAGTATGTCTAGTTCTTGGTTGCACGAAGGAGAGCATAGTCTAGAGAGTCCATGAGGAAGGTCATCTTGACATTTTTTTCACTAGTGGTCAAATCCCCCTGGTGTTTAATTTAGCATTAATTCAGCATTTAATTCAAATCAGCTTGGTGTTTAATTTAGCATTAGCTTAATCACTGAAAGTCTCTACCATGTACGGGACATAGTTCTTATCTGTCAGTCTTTTAAAGTTCATTTTGGCAACACAGATTCCAGAGATTAGAAAATAGGATCACAAAAACAAAACAAAGAAACAAACAAACAAAAAACTTCAATAATGAATAATTTGCCCACAGAAGGGAAGACTGGAGAAAAATCAAAAGATTTTTTTTTAATCTTATAAAGTACTCTTCATCCTTGATAAGGTCAGATGTGCATCCATATTATAGATTAATAGGACTTCTGACAGTGTCAGATCTGTTACAAAATGTTCCTAGCAGGGCATCTGGGTGGCTCAATTGGTTAAGTGTCAGAATTTGGCTCAGGTCATGATCTTGAGGTCTGTGAGTTCAAGCCTCGCATCGAGCTCTGGGCTGACAGCTCACAGCTCAGAGCCTGGAGCTTGCTTCAGATTCTGTCTCTCTCTCTCTGCCCCTCCCCCACTCATACTCTTTCTCTCTCAAAAATAAATAACACTGAAAAACAAACACACCCCCAAATGTTCCTAGCAATAAATATTTGAAATGAATAAATCTATAGTACAGCCCGAAGCTGGGATTAATTTTCTTCAGTCTGAAATAGTTTAACTTCTACAGTTCATCAGGTCAGTGGTCTCAATGATGTCTCGAGGTTTTCATACTTCTGATTTCAGGTTGAAAATAGGCAGCAAAAATGAATTTAGCCAAATGTTAATCAGTCATGGCAGGAGGAAAAATTAGGAGATTAAATGTATGACAGACTAAACAATTCTTACAATGGTGAACTAGTGGTCCTGAGAAATTGAACCTCATGAACTCATTGAGGTACTTCCAGCCAGAGTTAGTGAAAGGTTGGTGAAAAGTGTATGGAAGTTCCTTGTACTGTTGTTGCAACTTTTCTGTCAACTGGAAATTATTTCTACATAAAAAGTTAAAGGCTCTGGCACCTAAAATGAATGAGACAGATATATCGAGTATATTTCTCTCTGGGTACCACACATTCATGATTGTTAATATATTTTACTTATATGCCCTTATCAAAGCATATTTACCTTTCTCTGGATAGAATTCCAACATGATTGGTTTATCCTTCTAAATCTGTAGAAGATTAAAGGAAGCACATCAGAAATCTAGAATGGTGATATTTCATAACCTAATAGCAATGCCTTCAGAAAAAGGCAAAAAAGAAAAGAATCCAATAATTAATAAATGTAGGGGCAAATAGTCCCCATATTTCAATAACCTCTCAAGCGTTGCTATTTTACAGGATTGCAAAATAACTGAATGAATGCACGGATATTGATTAAGTAATTCATATATGCAAAGACATTAGAAAAGTGTCTGGTGCATGGTAAGCACTAAATAAATATTAGCTATTATTAGGTTTATCATGATACTCTTGCGTTGTCACACAAGGGTAAATTCAGCTCTTTTATATCTCAGGAGGCAAGAAACTCTGCAATATAATGTGCTGGATGCTTGAAGGTGATGATGAAAGCTTGGTGCCTCTCCTGTGCTCTTGAAAAATGTAGACCCAATTTTCCTTCCGCTTCCCCCACCCACCTTATGCAGTATGTGCTGCTAGGCAGTGGCTGTAGCCACCGTGTGGATAGGGTGGGGGCTGTAGCTCACACTTGAAGGCAGCCAGGTCTAGATGATTCCAAATAGTGTAAAAGTAATCGAGGGAAAGAGAGGAGAGGAAGGGGGATAAGGCAGGGAGGAAGGAATGGAAATGGATGAGAGGGAAGCAAGCCCTTAGCTGTCTAGGAAACTCAGCTGTTCACAATGAGTCATTTCCTTCAAGTTCAGCTGGCATCCAGGACTTCTTTCCAAAGACGGAATGAAAGGTTTTGTGTCTAGTAAGGGAATTTCAGAGCACAGGAAAGCCGGAGTAAATAAAGGAACACAGTGCTGGCGTACTGGCTCTGGGCCATTTTCACTGCCTGTGGCAAACCGCTTCCTCTCAGCGAGATTTCCCTCCACCTGTAGATGGGGAATTCTGATTTCTACCGGCCCTGGTGACCTTTCAGGGCTGTTTGAGGCTCCTAGGGAGGTCACGTCTGGTGACCGCAGTTTCTGAACCCAGAATCGAAAAGGCATGATCTGACAAATGCAAGGGTGTGTACACGGGGTGTTTATAACTTGTTTTGCCTCAGAAAATCCAGGACTTGTGGGGAGAAAGGAACTGGGAGAAAAAGCAAAAAAGAAGGCGCTTGGGGTTAAAAGTAAGAAAAAGATATCTAGGAGGAATTCACCTCTCCAGCCACTGGAGGCTGCTCTGGTTTTTCTTATAAGTAGCTCTATGCAGCCAACATGCTTTACTAGCCAAGGAATCTTAACCCTGAACACTGAGGAGCAAAAATAGGAAAGAAATATAATCAAAGGAGGAGACTGTGGACAAGAGCCCTTTGTTTCTGGAAGAAGGATGACTGACGAAGAGGGCATCTCCTGAGAGGCTATTATTCATTATGAAATCCCGTGTGAAGTGTGAGGTGGGTGGGCCTGGGTGGCTCAGTGGGTTAAGCTTCTGACTCTTGATTTTGGCTCAGGTCATGAGCTCATGGTTTGTGAGATTGAGCCCCAAGTAAGGCTCCAAGCGCCTGCTTGGATTCTCTCCCTCTCTGTCTGCCCCTGTCCCACTCATCTCTCTAGAGAGAGATTTATTTATTTACGTAGAAATAAATAAATTAAAAAAATAAAAGGACGTCTGGTGGGATAGTAGGTGGGCTGAGCTACGTGACATCTGACATTATGGAACGCAGATTTCCTCTTAATTAGAGACCATAAGGGGAAAGTAAATACCTCTGAGGGAGAGGTGTCAAATTCACACAGAGGTGCAAATGACTACCACCAAGTTCTTCTCTGAGAGTGAAATTTTCTGAGCCATAGGGAAGAATGGAATCTA